AGACCAGGGAGGGTCCATCCAGTCCAGCCTCCCGTCTCACACAGGGGCCAGCCAGTTCCTCTGGAGGGCCAGCAACAGGGCAGAGAGGCCGAGGCCTTCCCCTGAGAAGAATACCAGAAGAGCCCTGCTGGGTCAGACCAGGGAGGGTCCATCCAGTCCGGCATCATCTCTCACACAGGGGCCAGCCAGTTCCTCTGGAGGGCCAGCAACAGGGCAGAGAGGCCGAGGCCTTCCCCTGAGAAGAATACCAGAAGAGCCCTGCTGGGTCAGACCAGGGAGGGTCCCTCCAGTCCAGCCTCCCGTCCCACACAGGGGCCAGCCAGTCCCTCTGGAGGGCCAAGCACAGGGCAGAGAGGCCGAGGCCTTCCCCTGAGAAGAATACCAGAAGAGCCCTGCTGGGTCAGACCAGGGAGGGTCCCTCCAGTCCAGCCTCCCGTCCCACACAGGGGCCAGCCAGTCCCTCTGGAGGGCCAAGCACAGGGCAGAGAGGCCGAGGCCTTCATTAGAACACCAGAAGAGCCCTGCTGGGTCAGACCAGGGAGGGTCCCTCCAGTCCAGCCTCCCGTCCCACACAGGGGCCAGCCAGTCCCTCTGGAGGGCCAAGAACAGGGCAGAGAGGCCGAGGCCTTCATTAGAACACCAGAAGAGCCCTGCTGGGTCAGACCAGGGAGGGTCCCTCCAGTCCAGCCTCCCGTCCCACACAGGGGCCAGCCAGTCCCTCTGGAGGGCCAAGAACAGGGCAGAGAGGCCGAGGCCTTCATTAGAACACCAGAAGAGCCCTGCTGGGTCAGACCAGGGAGGGTCCCTCTAGTCCAGCCTCCCGTCTCACACAGGGGCCAGCCAGTTCCTCTGGACGACCAGTAACAGGGCAGAGAGGCCGGGGCCTTCCTCTGAGGCTGCCTCATGGCTCCGGGATTCAGATTGACTGCCTCTGAACACCAAGGCTAGCAGCTACTGATAGACCTCTCCTCCATGAACTGTCATGAAACACATTGTGATGAGACTCGCTGGGGAAAGAGAGACATCCTCTACCTGCTCAGAGGCACCCGTGCTGGAAGACTCAGTCAAAATCAAGGGTGGTGTTGTTTTTTGGTGGTGGGGGGGAGGAGCCTGTGCTTACAGCATCCCAAGGACTAAATTTGCCCACAATTGTGCTCTGTTTTATGAGTAGTCCGAGTAGTATGTTCGACTGGATGGTGTTGGCCTGCAGCCACTTCAGATACGACTGCCTTGCTGGACTGCGAGGAGGGTGTGCCAGGGCAATGGACAGAGCTGTGTTCCTAAGATAAGTCCCCCGTTATGGACCGTGGAGTGTACACTGGGGCCAGGGGGAGCCTTGTGGCTAAGACGTATGCCGAGCCAGATGTGGACCCGGGACTACAGAAACCTCCTGCCCCTTTGCACCTCTGCACCCACCCCAAGCACTGGGATGCAGACCAGCAGCCCTGGCCTCTGTGCACGCAGAGACAGCAGCGGATCAGAGAAGAAGCCGTGCTCTGGCAGAGGACAGAGAGAGCCATGAGGGAATCTCTTCTCCATCATGCAGCATTCCCCCCCCCTTCTCCTTGTGTGTTAGCTTCACCTGGAAAGCATCACGTTCCTCTTCCTCCTAAGACAGCCTAAACAAAAGACTGTGCCCAGCTAAAGACCATAGGAGCGATTAAGCCTTCCTGCTACCCATCCAGATAAGAGCCGCTGTCAAGCATCTGATCATTAACGCGGAGCACCAGACCTGCTACTGACTGGTTCTCTCCACTCTCTCCTTTGTCTCAGCTCCTTCGCTCAGAGGTGTCCCTCCCTGCCGACCATCCATTTCCAATTGCCCAGCTATTAATCCCGTTATGCCCCCATCCAGAGCTTAGGACTTCTTGGGAACCAGGGGCCACATGAGCCATGGCCTCAGGTCACAACTTGGCTATTTAAGGTGGGCTCTCCCTGAGCTCAGTCTCTTGCTTCTTCCTCTCCTCACCAGTGCTCCCTCTAAGCTGTGGAGACTGGTGAGCAAAAAATTCTACTTTGTGAGCTCCTGGCATTAAAGCTGTGAGCGAGCGATTTGGCTGCTGCAGAAATTAGTTTGCTCTTTTGGAGGCCTCCTTCCTGAGCTAAGGCAAAAATGTGTGAGCCGGAGGCTAACAAACTGTGAGCTGGCTCACACTAGCTCAGCTTAGAGGGAACACTGCTCCTAACCCCATCCTACCTTGTTGGTTCTGTTAATCTGCAATTTTAGGATGCATTAAGAGAAGCATTGTGTCCAGATCAAGGGAGGCGGTAGTTCCACTCTATTCTGCTATGGTCAAGCCTCACCTGGAGTCCCATGTCCAGTTTTGGGCACCACATTTTAGGAAGGATGTTGACAAGCTCAAGCGTGTCCAGAAGAGGGCAACCAGGATGGCGAGAGGGTTGGAATCCAAGTCTTAGGAGGAAAGGCTGAAAGAGTTGGGTCTGTTTCGCCTGGGAAAGAGAAGGCTTAGAGGGGACATGATTGCAGTCTTCAAGTATCTGAAGGGCTGTGATGTAGAAGATGGAGCGGATCTCTTCTCTCTTGCTCCGGATTGCAAGACTAGGTCTAATGGGTGGAAATGACAAGGGAGTCATTACCGGGTAAATATCAGGAGAAACTTCCTAACTGTAAGAGTGGCTGAGCAGTGGAACAGTCTGCCTCGGGAGGTGGTGGATGCTCCTTCGCTGGATGTTTTCAAGCGGAGGCTGGACGGCCATCTTTCGGGTATGTTGTAGGTATGTAGGGCTATCTTTTGGCTATGCTCCTGCAGAGTGCAGGGGGTTGGACTAGATGACCTGCAAGGTCCCTTCCAATTCTAACATTCTATGATTCTATGTTCTTGGCTGGTTTGAAATCAGTCCACGTGTGTTGCTGGTCAACTCATGATCCCTTCCCCTTTAGTGTGTTTCATATTTCGCTGCATGATCGTCTCATCGGGCAGGTAACGTATTACCCACCTCAATAAAAAAACATTAAAAAAAAACGTATTACCCACCAATGATATTCCTGTTCATGCAAACGTTGCTGTCCTTTCAGCTCTGTATTCTTAGCTCTGTATTGTGTGTGTGAATGCTTGATTGTTATTTGTATGCTTGAAGAACATTTAGTAAAGAAATGAGTTATTCTAATAACATAGCTTCCTCGTCTATTCATGGGCTCTGGGAATGGGTTATGGTCCCATATTTTATGCCTATTTCCATTTAATATTCATAATTCCCCAAGCTTATTAATTAATTAAGGCAATTTGGCTAACAGTGGGCCATTGGCCTGATCCAACATTGGCTTCCCTTATGTTCTCAAGTTCCCTCCCCCGGACAGAAAAGTGGACGGCTGTTTACCTCTGGACAAAAAAGAAGAAGAGAAGAGATTGGATTTATATCTCTCCCTTCACTCGGAGTCTCAGAGCGGCTTACAAGCTCCTTTCCCTTCCTCTCCCCACACCAGGTGGGGCTGAGAGAGTTCTTTCGAGAACTGCCCTTTGAGAGAACAGCTCTGAGAAAACTATGGCTTGCCCAAGGTCATCTAGCAGGTGCAAGTGGAGGAGGAGAGGGAATCAAACCCGGTTCTCCCAGATTAGAGTCCGCACACTTAACCACAACACCAAAAAAGAGAGATGAAAGAAAACAGCAACTGAAACTGAGGCCTCTAAGGTTGATGGTCTGATGGGACAGCACACATACCCCTTCTAGATCTTCAGGATGCTGGGCGTTTGGTACTGCTGTGAATGCCAGCATTTGGAAGTGGGTTAAACCACCGCTAGGAGGAGCAGGGCCTTTCCTGTGGTGGCCCTGAGGGTTTGGAAAAGCTCATACAACATCCACCGGTGCTTCTCCCTATTGATTTAGAACATAAGAAAAGCCCTGCTGGATCTAACCAGTGGTCTATGTAGTCCAGCATCCTGTCTCACACAGGAGCCAACCAGTTCCTCTGGAGGGCCAACCAACAGGGCAGGGAGGCTGAGGCCTTCATTAGAACACCAGAGGAGCCGTGCTGGATCAGACCAGTGAAGGCCTGTGTAGCCCAGCCTCCTGTCTCACCCTGTGGCCAACCAGTTCCTCTGGACGGCCAACAACAGGGCATTGAGGCCAAGGCCTTCCCCTGATGATGTTGCCTCCTGGCACTGAGATTCAGAGGCTGACTGCCGCTGAGCACGGAGGTTCCATTTAGTCATCATAGCTGCTAGCCACACAAGACCTCCTTTTTCTCTTTGGTACTTTAATAGACAAATCAGAAGAAGTTGGGGGGTGGGGAATAGTGGTCTGTACATTCTGCAGGTCATTCCCCCATCCAAGAATCAGCTCTCCCCCCCCCCGAAAGCACCCCTCACCCAGCCTTTCAATAAATAACATCAGAACTAAATCCCACAGGGGGGAAACCAGAGGCTGTCGCTCTCTTCTATAGCTTTAGTGTGTAACACTACAGGAAGTTCATCTGCCAAAGTACCATGCGGGGGGGGGGCACGTGCTGAGGAGCCCTGGGGGAGTGCCAGGGGGCCGCCGTGATGGTCTTGTGAGCAGCGGGTCTGCCGATATGCTTGCGTCCCCCTCGCAAGAGCTTGATTGGCCGCAGGAGGAGCGTGCTCAGCCGAGAGGGCTCTCAAGAGGGAGAGCGTAGTCTTTGGGTCCCCAGCGCATGTCCCGGACACGGCGGACGGCCTGCACCTGGGGCTGGAAGGCCAGCCACTCGTTCCAGTGCCCAAAGTCTCCTCGCTCAAAGAGATACTGGCAGCCCCGGTAGCCAGGGTACTGGTAGCCCACCCAGCTGCAGAGGAAGCACAGAAGACATCCACGTCAGACGGGCAGGGTGTGGCGCAAGGGAGCATGCCTGGGCTGCCCCCAGTCAGTGTTACCTGTAGTTTAGTGAAACTGCGCTGTATCTTTAAGACTTGTTGCACTCTGGGAATTGTAGTTCACAGTTAGGGGTCCCAGAAGCTTCCCTCTGACTGGCTCATTAAGAGCAATTTCCTGAGCTCAGAGGCGCAAAGATAGGAGTTTTATTGTTCTTTTCCGTTTCTTTGTCTATCAACCCTTACTGCAAGGAGAGGGGAAGCCCATCTCTTTCTCACCGCGGCTATTCAACTAACCTAGATCACAAGATGTAACTTTCCACCCAGCTATCTGGACAATTGTGAGTAAATGATCTTCTGAATGCATGTGGAGTTAAATAAAGACGATTTAAGCTCTCCTCAGTAGTCTTGGTTGACTCACACCTAGAGAGCGCTGGCTTAGCACAGCTCGCGCTGGACGGGACCATGCCTGAACCCCCAACCAGGAGGACGACCTTTCGTCTTGGATGGAGGGTGCCCTCGGAAGACGGGGAGGGTGAGCAGGCGCTCTTCTGACTGGCTGCTAATGTTCAGGGCAGCTGCTTCCAATGTTCCCTCTAAGCTGTGGAGTCTTGTGAGCAAAACTTCCACTTTGTGAGCTACCGGCACTGAAGTTTTGAGCGAGTGATTTGGCTACTGCATAAAAATTAGTTTGCTCTGGAGCCCTCCTTCCTGAGCGAAGACAAAAATGTGTGAGCTGGAGGCTAAAAAACTGTGAGCTGGCTCACACTCACTCAGCTTAGAGGGAACACTGGCTGCTTCTAAAAATCCACCCAAGGATCCTGTTTGGAATGGGAGGGGGGGTAGACAGCTGGCCCCAGAACCCGTTTCCAAGGTCCTATGGAATGAAAACCACCCCCCTCCGAGGAGGAGGAGGAGCAGAGACACACCGGGCAGACTCCCCCCCCCCGCCGCCTTCCCGGCTGCCGCCCGGGTTTGCGGAGTCCAGAAAGGAGAGAGCAGGGGACCCAGAGGGAGGAGACGGCACTCCAGGCACAGGCTTACGTTCCACTGGGCACCTTCACGCTCCCGACGTGGCCGCAGAAGCCGTGCACCCACAGACTCGGCATGTCGCTGTCCTGAACTTCCATCTTGTTGCCTTTGTAGCTGGCCCTCTCAAAGAGGAGGATCTTCTGCTCCTGGGCCTCGTGCTGGAGGGACAGACGGAGACGGGCAAAAGGTCTCAGTGCTTGTGCATGGGTGTGTGTGTGTGTGTGCCCTGCAAGGACTGCCCGGCTGCACTCAGAAAGGGCCTTCTGGGATCTTGTGCCCAGTCAGAGCACCAGGCCCTCTGGCTGTCGTGGTCGGCTCCACTGAGCACCCGTTCTCCTGGGGGGGAGAGAGGCTGAGAAAGGCCAGAGAGCCTTCCATGGGAGAGGTGGGTCATTTGCTGGGGACAGACTGCGAGGCCTCGCTGAGGCGAAGGGGGAGCCTCAGCCCTGGGCTGTGACCTCCAGGGACTGCAGCACTGTGTCCTTGGGGGGGCGGGGTTCCCCCTAGGGAAAGCCCTGGCAGTTGAGACGGAGCAAGAGGGAGGAGGAGGAGGAGGAGGAGGCCACTGCTGCAGACTCACCATCCTGACGGGCCGCAGGGAGCGCAGGCGGTCGCTGCAGGAGCTGCTGGACCAGGTGTCCCACCGTGGGAACTCGCCCTTCTCCAAGACAAACATCTCACCACGCAAGTTGGACTGCTCAAAGGCCACCCAGCTGAGGAAAGGGAGGAGAACACTCAAGCAGGCGGCCACAGGGAAGACTGCCCAGAGAAAGGTGGGGGGGGCCCCTGAGGCACGGGAAGCAGGGGGCTCCACGCTGGGTCTGTTTAGCAGGCCAAGGGACACCACTTGTTGTTTCCAGCTGAAGGGCTTTGTTGATTTGGAAGCCTTTAAAATCGGCTAAAATCCCCCGCCTCCCCCCCCCCCGCCCATCAAGGCCACAGGCTGATGAAACAGGCAGCTTTCATAACAATGGCCACTGGTGCTGGCAGTCAAAGAGCAAGCAGACATACACACAGGGGTCCCACCCCGGCCTGCCTTCAGGTACAAGCTCTTCATCCTCTGTGAGGGCAGATCCGCGCATTTCTTCCCCCCCCCTCCATAGCTAACCATCCAAAACAGTCCAGTGGCACCTTTAAGACCAAGTTTTATTCAGGTACAAGCTCTCCCTCCTCTGTGAGGGCAGATCTGCACATCCCGTCCCCCATAGCTATCAATCCAAAACAGTCCAGTGGAGACTGAGCAGTGGGTGTTGCCTTCTGACACACTTCCGGTGATGTCAGGGGGTGTGGCATATGCAAATAAGTTATGCTAATGAGGTCCTGCACCTCTTTTTCCACGAAATGACCCCTTCATACACACAGCATGCAGAGCTGGTGGGTCAGAGCAAAACTCAGGAATTGGAAGTCCCAAATCGACAGCTCATCAATCCTGTCCTTGTGCATAGCACATCCTGCATTCCTTCCAGGGAGAAAAGGAATGCATGACACGCTGTCATGGAAGATAAGGATGGAACAGACTCTTCTGTTGAGATGGGGCTGCTCAAAGGCCAGGAGGTCAGAGGACAGAGAGGACGGAGCCAATCTTGGGCACGAACCATTGCCAGGGTTTCAGATTTCTGCTTACCGGGAGGTCTGGACACACACAGCACATGACCCTCTGAGACCAGGCCTCCGGGTGCTTCCAGGAAGTCAAAGGGCGACTTCTCCTGCTGCAGCCAGGGTAGTTCCAGAGAACGTGTTTCCAGTTCTGGGGCACGAAGTCTTGGAAGACGGGAAGTGTGCCTCCGAGAGCGTGCTGTGTGCATCTTCCTCCTTGAGTGACCAGAGCTGCTTCCCAGAAGCCCCTGGAGTCAGGAGGAGAGGCTACCCCAGAGAGAGCGGAGGTGTCCAGGCAGGGGCAGGCTGGAGTCGTGCCTTGCTCCGGGCACTGCCTCTGGAGTAAAGTGTTGGCCAGTCTCTCTCCTTCTCTCGTCTTGTGTTGCAGGGGCAGGCGGCTGCATCCACGTGTCCTTCGAGAACTGTGCTATCGTTGTGCTTAGGCAGCCATTTGGGACTGGATATCCTGTGTGGTCAAGTCCCTGCAGCTGTGAATGGTTGGGGCCCGGGACAGAGAGCCCCTGAAGCCCCTAAAGAGAAGGCTCTTGAGAGTCCCCCCTGGACTGCAAGGAGATCAAATCAGTCAGTCCTCAAAGAAATCAACCCTGACTGTTCCCTTGAAGGCCAGATAATGAAACTGAAGCTCAAATACTTTGGCCACCAAATGAGAAGGGAGCCCTCACTGGAGAAGAAGACCCTGATGCTGGGAAAGATTGAAGGTCAAAGAAGAAGGGGACTGCAAAGGATGAGATGGTTAGACAGTGTCTTAGATGCAACGAACATGAAGTTGAGCCAACTTCAGAGGACGGTGGAAGACAGATGTGGTCCATGGGGTCACGAAGAGTTGGACTCAACTACGCGACTGAGCAACAACAACAAAAGACCAACAGCTGATATTTTGGTATGAGCTTATGTGGGTCACAGCCCACTTAGTTTGTCAGGTATCTCATAGTCTGTATCAGGTGCCACTCGACTTTTATTTTGCTACAGATGAGTAACATGGCTATCCCTTTGACACCCTAGAGGTGGAGAAGGGCCAGTGTACAGGGTTGGTTCCGTCATGCAGAAACCTGTTTGGACAGCTCCACTCTGGGCATTGTGTCAGATGGCTCCTTTACAAGAAGAAGTCCCTTGCAGGCAGAACAGTGGGGCTCAGCGGCAGAGCCTCTGCTTGGCACCCAGAAGGTCCCAGGTTCAATCTCTGGCATCTCCTGTGAAGGACCAGGCAGGAGGTGCTGTGGAAGACCTTTCTCTGCCTGAGACCTCGGAGAACCGCTGCCCGTCTGAGTAGCCAATGCTGACCTTGATGGACCAAGGGGGGGGGGGTCTGATTCGGTATTGGGCAGTTCCATGTATTCAACACTAGCAGATGTCCAGAGACCAGGCATGGGCTCTGAAGCGGTTGGCAGGCGAGCCACTTGTGGGGGCCCCTCCTTCGCCATTCCCTCTGGCCCAGACTTGCGTAGTGCCTCTGCTGCCTGGCTGGCTGGGGAAGGATGCGCCTCCTCCGAGTGCTGCGGCTCCGCCGGCCCTCCAGGGCAGAACTCTGGCCAGGGAGTTCCCACCGCACAGCCCTGGGCAGAAGGACATCCGTCCCTCCCTGGCTGCAGCAACCGAGCTGTCTGCGCTCCTTGGCCGCTGGTGCAGCTGCTGTGTCTGGCTACTCCCAAGCCCTCGTGGCCTCCTCCTCCAGGGTGCCTCCGCTGCACTTGCAAGAAGGGCCTGGGCACACCCATCGCAGCCACCTTAGGAGACTTCCTTTGAGGAGTCCTCTGGTTTTAGGGGGAGGCCCAAGCTCAGATCCCCACTGCCGTGGAAGCAAAGGTTACCAGCCTCCAGGAGGGACCTGGAAATCTCCCAGAATCACAGCAGATCTCCATACTGGACAGACCAGTTCCCCTGAAGCACATATGGGTTTTTTGGAAGGTGGAGTCTACAGCATAATACTCCACAGAAGTCCCCCTCCTCTGCAAAACCTGCCCCTTCCAGCCTCCAATATCATATCACTGCCACAGGAGGTGGTGGCGGTTACAAGCATGGACGGCTTCAAAAGGGAATTAGATAAGCATCTGGAGCAGAGGTCCATCAGTGGCTATTAGCCACAAGGTATAGATAGGGACTCTGGGGCAAGTGATGCTCTGTCATCTTGGTGCTGCAGTGGCTCAAGTGGTTAAGACGCTGAACTGCAGGCCGTGGAAGGTCGGTAGTTCAGCAGTTCGAGACTCAGGGTGCCGCATGACGGAGTGAGCTCCCGTCTCTAGTTCCAGCTCCTGCCAACCTAGCAGTTCAAAAGCAAGAAATTGCAAGTAGATAAATAGGTACCGCTTCGGTGGGAAGGTAACAGTGTTCCGTGCGCCTTGGTGTTTAGTCATGCTGGCCACATGACCACGAAAACATCTTTGGACAGCGCTGGCTCTTCGGCTTTGAAACGGAGATGAGCACCGCAACCCTAGAGTCGGATTCGACTGGCTTTCGAGCAAGGGAACCTTTACCTTTACAGATAGGGGCTCTGGGGCAAGTGATGCTCTGTCTTCTTGGTGCTTGGGGGGGGGGGTCAACAGTGGGAGGGCTTCTAATGTCCTGGCCCCACTGATGGACCTCCTGATGGCCCCTGGTATTTCTGGCCACTGTGTGACACAGAGTGTTGGACTGGATGGGCCACTGGCCTGATCCAGCATGGGCATCTCTGACATTCTTATGTTCTTACTGAACAAAGGAGCAAACCGAAGGCTGACCTCTCTGCTGACTGGGCATGAAGGGCGTTAGAAGTGGAGGGTTTTGCACTGTTTCCCATCTCAGACTTGCGAAATGGCACCAAAGAGTTCAGACAGACAGAGGGGGCAGGACACACAGAGAATCCTTTCCTTCCTGCTACCTGATCCCTTCCTCTGAAGTAGGGTGCTACTCTGAGGGGGAATTTCCTCTGTTTCGGCTCTCTCACTCTTCTCTCTTCCGCACATGGAAAAGAAGGCGCCTCATCTCTCCATCTTGCACTCTGGAGGCTGGACCTGCACCCAGCATCCAGCACTATCTAGTCAGAGTAGGTGATCTATCCCTCTCTCTTACCTGCCCTCTCCAGCATGTATTTCCTCTAATAAAAGTTGTCTGCTAGTATTAGAACTGACTGCTGGCTCCTCCGTGTAACTTTGCAAGTCTGCGGCCACACCCAGCCCCGGCTCGGCTGCTTTAGAGCCTTGAGTGCTCTGCGGCTTTTCTCATGGTTCCCTGGCAGGGCCAAGTCATAGAATCATAGAATGTTAGAATTGGAAGGGACCTTGCAGGTCATCTAGTCCAACCCCCTGCACTCTGCAGGAGCACAGCCGAAAGATAGCCCTGCAACATACCCAAAAGATGGCCGTCCAGCCTCCGCTTGGAAACGTCCAGCGAAGGAGCCTCCACCACCTCTCGAGGCAGTCTGTTCCACGGCTCAACCACTCTGAGTCAGGATATTTAGCCAATATATCGACTCCCTTGTAATTTCCACCCATTAGATCTAGTCTTGCCATGCGGAGCAAGAGAGAACAGAGAATCCAACAAAGGGCCGCAGCAGCACAAGGCATCCGAATGGCTGGGTCAACAAGGAGGACGGGAAGCCGCCTTGTTCCTGAAGCGGCCTTCTGCTGAGTCCACCGAGGCCGGTGTTGCCTACTCTGAGTGGCAGCAGCTCTCCAGGGTCTCAGGGGCAGAGAAAGGTCTTTTGGTTCCCCCAGAAACACTGGAGACTGAACCTGGTACCTTCTGCATGCCAAGCAGGTGCTCTGCCTTGACCCTTGGCCTGCCACTCAGAGCATGCTTGGAGGATGTATGATCTGAACGAATGCCAGAGTCCCAGAGATATCTAATAGGAGTCTTGTTTTGTGCGGGGAGGGGAGGGGGCTTTTAGGCTCAAGGGCGAGAGCTGAAATCTCTCTGTGGAATTTCCAGGAATACGCAGGCAGCCTGAAGCCCTGCTCCTCCTGCCCCCCCCCCACTGAACACCACTTACGGTCCCGTGGCCACAATGATGCTGCGCACTCGGTCGAAGCCGTGGTCTCCCAGGTTCAGGCACTCCCGTGTGAACTCCTTCTGCTGGCCCTGGAAGTTCTCCTGGTCAAACACAAGGATCTGGAAGGAGAAGCCACATCACAGGGGTCCCCAGTGAGGAAAGGGGAAAGCCGCTGTGGCACCCGAAGATTCCCCACAAGGGCACAGAGGTGGCAGCCGTACAAATGTCCCTTCACAAGGGCCCTGGAAGGGAAAGCATCATTTCGTTTTTTATTTATTTCATTTATGGTGTAAGGAAGGCAGGGAGGAAATAAGACAGAGTGGATTTTCCCAGGAGCCCACAGCCCGGTCCAGACGGCCCATTTTCAAATCGACCCTTTGGCTGAGCTTTCAAGGGTCACCACGGTAGGGCAGGGACAGTTTTAAAATGTGCACGTCCATTTCGGCGAGGGAAGCGTGGCTCTTGCTTTTCTTCCTGTTGGCGAAGAGCCGGCAGTCCCGCGGAACACCTCGGACCAAACGACGGCCCTGGGCCTGCGGACAAAGGGCGGGCCTGAGCCAGTTGTTTGCACGCAGAGGGCAGGCCAGGGCTTGTAGAAGGTGCCTTCCCCCATGTCTAGTCCACACATTCGATGCTGGCAGAATGCAGCTGTGTAGAAATGTGGGGCCACTGCCTCTGGGTGAGGTTTCCCCGCTGCCTGCTCCGCTCCTCCACTCCTCCTCCCACAGACCTTTTCTTGCACCAGCTTGGCTGCACCCGGCGGCGGCTGCCCCTCCACCACTGAACCTGTGCTGCAATCTCTGGGGAGAGCAGGGGTGGTCTCAGCCAGTGGGCATCAGGGGCAGCCTACGGGGTGTGTGTGTGTGTGTGTGCATGACCAACCATAGAAGAAGAAGATCCAGGCGCTGATGCCGCTCTGGCCCGCCTGTCTGGGGCTCCAGCAGTGGCTCTTGGCCACCCTGCATGGGGCGAGGGCCGCCTCTCTCGCTTGACCCTGGCCGGGGGCCAGGGTGGGGGTGGCAGTGATCCTGGGACCCCATCCTGGGCTTTCACCGGGGCCCCAGAAACCCCAGGGGACAGGGCCAGCCTTGCTCCTTTGCAGCACTTAAGCCCCTGCCTGGCTCCAGGGCTACCCGTGGCCTCTGCCGAGCCCCCTCCCCCCCCCCGCCTGGGACTGCCTTACCCGGAAAGGCTCCCTGGAGGTCTCCTGAGCCAGGCCGTGGGAATCGGTGGATGGGGGAGGGCTGCCTTGAGCCGTCCCCTGGGTGCCATGGTCGGGCAGGGCGGCTGTTGTGCTTTCAGACATGGCGGTGTCCAGCGGAGGCCTGAAATTGCAACGTGTACAGGGTTAGGGGTGAACAGAGACACCTTCGGGGCACCACCGGCCAGTGCATTCTGAACAGCACCCCCGCCCCCACCAGCCCCATAACTCTCTCTTCCCCCATGCTGAGCGAGCTCTCTCCCAGGCGGCCTGGGCCTCTTCTCCAGTGTCTGCACACGATCCTGGAACATTTTCAGCACAGATGAGAAGAAGAAGAGGAGGAGGAGGAGGAGGAGGAGGAGGAGGAG